AATTGTCACATATTAAGTTTATCCTCTTGCTCGTTCTTATTTTTATTCAAGACACAATGAGGAATAACCAAATGTCTGTATGACTTGATCTGATTAACCATTAACATGACAACTTGCTCTTCCTATATATCTTCTAGTATATTTTTTAAGATGAGTTTAATTTTTTGGTACTGACAATGTGAATATATTTTAAAGTTACGGATTCATGTCTATTATTTGTTATAATTTTAGTGGATTTTTACACATAAATTCACGCTCCGTGTTAAAAGTATTGAGTTCATATGACCCCGGTAACTTTAAGTTGTATCAAGCTCTTGCAAATATATTTATGATAAGTATTATAATAGATGACCCGATAAATAACATGCTATAATAATTAAGCTATATAGATCGTGTAAAAAATATATATGCTATCAATATATATAACATGCGTACTTTCTGAATAATGGTTTTGGAAGTTGCATTCAATCTCTATTATGCTTAGATTGTTGCACCATCCTATTTAACATCTACACCACCGTACGTAATTGCCCTTGTTTGGCAAAGAAATCTTGATAAATACCATCAGCTCTTCTTAGTTACACAAGGGAAGGGAAAAACAAAACGAAAACAGAGATTACAAAGCTTTACCAATCTCATCACAGTAATAGTACTCCATTAATGAAAGACGACATCGTATGGCACAAGAAATAAAACGGTAATATCTATCATTTAAAATAAACTTGAATGACCTTGCTCTTTTACATGCCAAGAGCATTTATTTCTCAAAATCCATCTCCAAATTAATTAACAGTAAGCAACATATTTGTCATATAAATAGTTTTAATTTCAACTTTCAGGCTCCTTCTCCGGACTCGTGCATAACGAGAGCTTAGTGCACGGACTGCCTTTTTAGGGACATTTGATCAAGCCGCCGTGAGTGGTCATGTCTGTGTAACATTTTCCACACTTCTCTCGGTTGCCGGATTGGCCACATCTGCATCTTTCACAGCAACTCGTGCATGCTCTTAGACACACATTCTGCCTTGAATGCGACTTGCACCTCACCATGCAAAGTGGAATACACTCTGCACATATTGTTCAATGTATCCAACACTTATTACCAAAGATCATTCCAAGAATACACGCAAATCGTTTATTTAATATATTCCTTTTGTTCCATTAATTTTATATGACACTAGTATCCGAAGCTTATTATCTCACCCATTGGTTAAGGTGACATGAACAGCGGTGAAGAGGATCTACGCAATTAATACACGCATCGATTCTCCACATTTTCCTTCCAGAAACCGATAATAGAGAGAGAAACAGAAAGGAAGTAGTAGAGAGAGAAAGGAAGAGTGAAGCAAAATAGATACCCGTAGCCACAAATTGCATTGGCAAATACAATTCTTAAGTAGCAATCTTTTAATGCGATTTGTAAATCGCAATCTCGAATGCAATTTACAAGGCGTAGTGCTCTAATGCGATTTACAAGGCGTAGTGCAGTAATGCGACTTACAATTCTCAATTTATATTGCCACTTAAATACAATTGTCAATTTGTAAGTTGCATTTGCAAATACAGTTTATAAGTCGCAACTGTCAAATGCCATTAAAAGTCGCAATTTCAAATGCGATTAATAAGTCGCAACTTTCAAATATGATTATAAATGGCAATTGATACATCACATTTGGTAAATGGAATTTATATGATAAATGTAATTTCTAACAATTTATAAGCCGCATTTGATAGTGTCACATTTACCAAGCAATTTATAAGTAGTATTTACCAATTTTTTCATAAGTGGCATTTATAAGTGTCTTTTTTTGGTTCGTTTCAATTAAGATTGGCATTTTTTTATATTTTTAACTTTTGAATTTTGAAGTCCTTTTACCCTTAATAATATTTTCTTCTAGCCATTAAAATGTCATAACATATTTAAAGAGCACAAGTTTTAGTGATACTTTTGGTATGTCTATGTGTCTAGTCAAACATTTTCATATAAAATGGAACAGGGTGAGTACCTTTTTTGTTCCTTGATTGAGGAGGAGGAGGAGAAGGTGGTGCCTTGACTGCCGGAGGAGTTGGTGCCTCCGCTGGTGGTGGTGGAGGAGGGGGCGCCGTCTTTCTTGGTGGATACAGGGTGGTAGGTGGCTTAGGGACTGAAGCAGGTGCTTTGACTGGTGGTGGGGGACTCGAATATGCCTTACCCTTTGAGCTACCAAGGTCAGATTCCACTTTGCTGTTTGCTTTCTGAAAACATAAGGACCAAACGGGTTCAAATGAACGCATTAGTGTCCGTTGAAACTATGTTTACATATTAAAAAATCAAAATATGTGTATATTAAAATATCACATTTATTCTGAACTTATATTCTAACTTACTACCCCATGCTTTATTTCTGTCACGAGGATGCATAGAATTCAAAGTTCTGATGATCATAACACAATGCATGTATGGAGTATTTAAAGGCATGCTAATATAGCTATATTCCACATGTTCTTTTTCTTAAGGCTGTATGCATAGTTAACTAAGAGAATATCAATTGTGAAAAAAGTGAAAAAGAAAATAAAAAGTTGTAAAGAGACATACAGTGGAAGTAACCAGAAGAAAAAAAGCAAAGAGAAGCTAGTGGCATAGTTTTGAAACACATGGTGAAACCAGGCAACTGCAGAAAGAAAGCAGATAGGAGCAAAAGCTAATTGGTGAATAATCTAGGACATAAGCAAAGAGTATATATAGGGCGTTAGGACAGACACAAAATCATATGAATAAGCTAGCCAAATAGTACTGATCTTATGTAAGATACTAATAATGTTCTGTTACTATCAGGTGAGATCTACCTTGAATACAACCATGTATTAGCTAGATCGAAGATCATGTCACGATTTGAAATATATGAATTCTGAATTTGTTACCGAACTCATAGCTCGTTTTATTGAGTTTACAATTAAATACTTATATATTTAATGAATTTTTTAAAGCACATATAGGATCTAAACAAAATTTATTGGATTCGTCCAAATCCATGCCTAGTATTCTAGCTCCAGAGTCTATCTAGGAGTAGATTCCTTAATTATAATTATTGTTTCAATTCACACCCACATGCCGTTGGGCTCGTAAACTAATATATTTACATGAGATAACAGAGCGTGCTTTTGCTTTTTTAATTACGATTCCACGATGTTTGTCTTCTCAAGCTAGAGCATTTCAGCCTTCGGACTCATATGAGAATCTAAAATTTAAATTCAGTGGGTTCAGAATATATGTGATATATTATACTAGTATATATTTTTAAAACTCATGTTCTTAGATGTATGCTGCCAAGACATTTCTTCCGTTTCCAATATACAGCAACCAACCGTTCCTCCACAACATAGTGTTATTCTGCTGAGGATGGTTTATTTAAGAAACTGAATGCTATTAAATTATGGTGAATATTCCCTTTTGCACTTGTGATCATCTATGGTAGAAACGGTTTTAAGATCATCTAATTCTTGTTGCAAACGCACTTATTGAATACTTGTTTTATTATGGTGGTCATGTTCGGATCATCTTACGTGCATGTTGCTTATTTTACTGAATATTTGCTATTGTTCACCAACTCAAACATCAAATAACTTTGCCTAGTTAGCAGATGCATTATAAACAATATGGCTTGGCTTGAGCTTCCGTATCTATGATGAGGGCTAAAGCCAGGTTGCATTTGTCTCATTTACAACAGGAAATAGCAAGTTGGTATTTTAAACATTAAGAATAGCCACCTCGTATTATTCCTTAAATATACGGCAAATGTCCAAATATACCCTTTTACTTTCGAAAATGATCTAAGAATACCCCTCGTTATACTACTGGGTTATCTATACCCCTGAAATCATACTTTGGGTTCAAATATACCCATCATTTAAACGGAGGGACACGTGTCATCGTCCTGTTGGCCAATTCTAAATATCTCCTAATTAATTAAAAAGACCTATTACCCATACCCGAAAAGTAATTTTCTAAAGTAATTTTTTTTTGTAAAAACTGGAAAAACTGATTTTTTTTAACTAAAAACTGAAAAAAACGAAAATATTTTTTTTTTCAGTTTTTACAAAAAAACTGCTTTAAAAAAAACTGAAAAAAAAAACTGAAAAATAATTTTCTAAAGCGTGTAAAAACTGGAAAAAAATACTGCTTTAGAAAATTGCTTTCATTTTTTTTAGTTTTTACAAAAAAAATTGCTTTAGAAATTATTTTTTATTTTTTTCAGTTTTTAGTAAAAAAATATTTAGTTTTTTCCAGTTTTTACAAAAATATTATTTTTCAGTTTTATTTTTCAGTTTTTACAAAAACATTATTTTATAAAATATTTTTCAGTTTTTTTAAAAGCAGTTTTTTTTTGTAAAAACTGGAAAAAAAATATTTTCGTTTTTTTCAGTTTTTAGTAAAAAAAAATTCAGTTTTTTCCAGTTTTTACAAAAAAAATTACTTTAGAAAATTGCTTTTCGGGTATGGGTAATGAGTCTTTTTAATTAATTAGGAGATATTTAGAATTGACTAACAGGACGATGACACGTGTCCCTCCGTTTAAATGAGGGGTATATTTGAACCCAAAGTATGACTGCAGGTGTATAAATAACCCAATAGTATAACAAGCGGTATTCTTAGACCATTTTCGAAAGTACAGGGATATATTTGAACCTTTGCCGTTAAATATATATGGATATCATGGCACTGAGATACATTTTCATCTGACTCTGACGTGTGATTCCACATGGGTGTTTATTATTCAAATTAGTCATAGTTGCAGTTAACTCATGTTAGGAACTTATAATTTGTGAAATAACACAGTGCGCTTTGGATGCCCGTTATGAACTCTCAAGCAAATAGCATTAGTAATGCTTCTCTTCTCCAGTAGCAGTTGAGCGAGGTTCTACAGAAGTTTCGCCCTGCAACTGATGCTGTTTTTTTCTCTTGCATTTTATTTTTAAACGCTGATAGTGCAAGATTGTACAGAAGTACTTTCTCAAAATTCTAACTAAAATGCAGATAGAAGCTTAAGCGATAACACCAAGATCCTGAAATAACAACATAGCTAAAAAGGAAATTATATAGTTCTCTATATGCATAATCCCAAAAAATGTTACAGAAATAGGCCTACTGAACTACTTGCATCGCAATAGGGGAATAGAAATCTCTTAAGACGTTCCTGAAAGATATCATCTCATCATCGTCTCTGAACTCCAAAACAAGTGTTCGTAGCCACCCTTTAGCTAATATCTTCTTCATCCTGAAAGCTGAGATTCAATGTTTGCAACTTGAAGCCTGAACCTTGTATAGTTTCAACCAAACTGGAAGACACCCCTGTAGCTTGTATTGTCGTTTGCTTTGTTAACTGCATAAAATAACAAGTTAGATCAACACCGAACCAAGGAATATATGACTAATTATGCCATGTTTCATCTCTTGGCTCTTCAAATGCCTTATTTAACTTCTGAATGTAAAAAATAGAGACATGTCTTTAAATGCTTCTTACGTTCTTTTGTAAGTGAAGTTTAGAGGAAATTTTTCTCCATGTTTAGGTTATACAGGTGTTATTGCATAATTCACCTATATATTACTAACATTTTGTTGGCTAAAAATTAGATGATGAAGATCCCAGCAAGGATACTTATATAAACTGAAGGTGGTAAGCTGAAATGAGGAACTCAGGTTCAAATTCTGATGGAAATAGATGGTAACTTTACCTTCCCACTTTTGTATGCTTGATCTATGTTGTCAATGAAATTCTTACACTTATAGGGATTTCTGTAGTTTGTATGCTAGGGGAAATAGCAGCTTAAAAGGATATTTTTGACAGTGTTAGACATTCTACAGAAGATTTTATAGTTCAAAATGTAACAAGTACTTTAAACACCCTTTTTTACTTTTATTCCAGTTACTTTTGAAGAAGAAATGAATTTTTTTTTAAATTAATTTAGTGCAGTGTCTCTAAGGTGCATTATGCTGCTCAGGATGTCAACTTTCTACAGCAATATTTCCTCTAACAGAATATACTAGTACTATTAACGAGTAAATACAAGAGAAGCATTATAGATGTAAATCACCTCCACGCTTGCAATTCCCTCAACAACTTGAACTTTGAGATCTGTGATGCCTTCTATCTCCTGTATATATATGGACAGACAATGAAGGTCAAACCACAACTATTCTTAAGTTCTAAGTTATTATTAGCTAAAATATATTGTTTTTTAACCGAAAATTTCCTTCAGGCAATATCACTACAAATTTGAAATAAAGATGGAGAAACAGATATAGCTCTTCACCAAACACACACAAAATCTGATGAGTATTTATACCTGTACTTTGGTTCTAGGTTATAAAATTTCAGATATGCCTAGTTCCAAAGGAAAATAATTTAAACGCCTAGAAAGCTCAGAACATTTTGGTTTCTCTAATTTCTCCATTAAAGTTTAAGAACCCCATGTTGTTTATTTCCAACTAGAATGTAATTGTGAGTCTTTCTGGTGTGCTACAAGTACCATTAAATTACAGAGAAAAAGAAAAATGCAGAGCAACTTCAACTACATTGTATTTGAAAAGCAAAGACAACGATCGATAAGAAAGGGCAGACAAATTGGCATGTACAACATAAAGATCTGAACTTTATAAACCGAATTACCTCTAAAGCCTTAGTCACATTAGGAACAGCTGCTTCATTCATTGTTCCTTCTGCCTGTGATAATAATATAAATTCAGTTATCATTCACAAGAAAATCCAGAACTAACAATTTGAAAGGAAAAAAAAAAGGAAGCAAAACTAACACATCGAACGCTTGTCATTCTTCTAGACAGTATTAGAAATCAATCAAATAATTAATTAAACCTCAATCCCGAAACTAGTTGGAGTCGAGCTATATGAATCACTTATATGCATTATTCTCTGGACCCACCTCATACCAATATGAACACGACAGAAATACATAGTCATTACTACCAGAATTCATCATAAACTAACTATTCTTACACTAAGCATCAACCTACTGCAACCCTCCTCCTCCGATATGAATCATTTATATGGATTCTTAGCCGAAACCATGTCATACCAATATGAAAATGTCACTACTACCAGAATTCATCATAAATTAACTATTCTTACACTGAGCGTCAACCTACTACAAACCTCCTCCTTTACCGGGACATGGTGAATTCACATAGGTGGAGTTTTTGACAAAATTAAACAACTATGCCTTAGTCCCAAACAAGTTGGAATCTGCTATATGAATCCTCACTTACCATGTCCCCCATTTAATTCAGCTCAGGCCAACATTTTACAAACTAGAAATAAAAAATGAAAAGTACTAGAATTAAGGTCAGAGGGTTAAACCTGAAAGAACATGGTGAGGACATCGGAAGGGGAGACGGAAACAGAAACAGTCTGATCAACGGTAGTTGTCGGAGCAGCAGATGCTTCATCGACAACAGCAGTGGCACCTTCTTCCTCAGTGGCGGACCATATCCTAGTATTTCTCAAAGGTGCCTTGGCTTTCACCAAACTCCGAGAGTGAGAATAGCCGACGGGAATGGCCCCGTTCCTTCGAAATCGAAGGAATTGAATTGGGAACAACTGGGGAAGAACAATAGATGAAGAATGGGGAATTTGAGAATGCGATTTAGCTCCGCAAACCGAAAATGCTAAGACGGTGGCCATTTCTTTTCTCCACACTACTTCCTCAGAGTGATTCTTTTACTTCTTATCCAGAAGCCAAAGCACAAAAGGAAAGGACTGGATATTTGGGACAAAATAATGCCAGTTAGTTAGTAAATTTTGAATATATAATAGTTACAAAAAAGTTTAGTGTCGCCAATTTTACTCGTCTACTAGAACTTTTTCCTTTACTAAATTTCACAACAAAGATAAAATTGGAAAGAAAATTCAAATTTCTAACTCATTATCTTTTATTATCCATATAGTTTCTTGAGGTCTTGAAGTAGCGGCAACTATCACCTTTTAGTGAAAAAGAATTGTTAAAAATTAGATATCTCAACCTTATGGTCATTTTGTCTCAAGAATAAAGGACTGGTATATAAAAAGGAATCTGTATAATGTATACCAATACCAATTGCATGTAAAACAAATCCACATTGAAAAATTAAATACTCAAACTATTGTCCTAATTGGCTAAGTGATTCAGAAAACGCATGTGTAGATAGGCTTCAAAATCTTCAGTCTATGACTCTATGTATATATATATTTCTTTTTTCCGTCATCCGCTCTTAAGAAATCTCGTTATAGTTTTTCTTCACATCTTTCTTGTTTACCGACTAATCTGAAATCTAGTCCCTCATTATATATTTCATATTTGTCGCACCTTTTTAAAAAGAAATATGAGTTGAGTCACCGAAATACCAATTACGTTGAATCATTACTTGTAAGAAGCTTTCTCAGCTAGAGAGAGACGACTTTCACATTCTCAAAACTCAATTAGACCTACTAATTTTCATTGCACCTGAAACCAGAGAATAGTTTATTCGAGTACACCCTAAACACAAGTTACACTAGTCCAGATGCATATAATTAGGTTACATGCACATAATTCAGATCATATATCTACAAGACGCAGTTTGAGACCAAAGAGAACCCAATACTCGTTTTTGGGGTCATTCATCCTTCCCAAAATCCCAATAATTGAGGTAGTCGGTAACTTCACATTATTATAAGTTATTTCATGTCACATTCCACTTGAATTTCACCATCTGCACAAACAAAAGTTTTATCAGATTTCTCATAGGAAAATGGAGATTTTTTTTTAACACAAAACAAAGGGGTCCAAGAGAAAGACCCTTACTCTTGAGATACACAGCTAAATTTGCCTGGGCATCAGCTTCAGTATTGCCTTCCTGATATGTTAAAACAAGTAAAAGTGCAAAACCCTCAGAAGGGGATGAAAGGATAGCTTTCGATGACTACAAGAAAGGAACGATTATGCGAACAGTGAATATGAATAAATAAATTATGAACTCTCCATCACAGGAAAAGAGAGGTCATATAGCTCATCAGCAAGAAGAGAGAAATTGTATATCGCATAAAGTAAACATGACATTCGAACACACTTCACTTGCGCCTCTTATGGTCCCGGGATTGTAAAAGAACACACGCACACATTGCAATTTTATCACATAAATAACATGCAGACGTAAGATATAATAAGAACCTCGGCACATCAAAATTCTGATAGACCTGTTCAGTATAGAGCACGATCCGAATTAGCAAAAGGGGAAAGTTGGTCATACTCTTAATATATGGTTGATCTGGAATGATATAAACTGATCTTTAAGCTCTTTGACGATCTTGGATAGCTCAGCCATGTTCTGGTTCTTACATTTCCAGATTCCCTGAGTCTGTTCCATGACAAAATTTGTAAAGAACAAGAGATTGGCCCATAAGTAGTACCAGCAAAAGCACTAAAGGTAATATAATAGCACTGTGAGCGCGCATATGATCTCATTGAAAGATCACGTAGCTTCAACTTCATTTTTTATTTGTTGGGAAGAATCGCTTCATTTTCAAACTGGTTTAGATGTAGCTTAGAATGGTAGTGCGAAAGATCATATAGGTTGCAAGGGAAAGAATAGCTTCACTTTAAACTGGTTTAGGTGTATCCTAGGATGGTATTGGGTAAGGTACCATCAAGACGGCAAGCTTATACAACAACAATAACAACCCAGTAAAATTCCATTAATGGGGTCTGGGGAGGGTAGTGTGTACGCAGACCTTACCCCTACCCCGAAGGAGTAGAGAGGCTGTTTCTAGACGGCAAGCTTATACCGAACCAAAATTCCTATTGAACTAGGTAGCCTGAATATGTCTCAAATCCTATACTCCTAAACCAGTCACAGCAAAATCTCTCAGGTATTCTGCAAAATAAATATATAAAACCAATTTCCTTACTTAATTGTGAACCTACACTTTGTTCTCCAGCATTCACCTTGGGATGTTGAGAAGCAAGTTTTCCCAGGACAAGTGAGAAAGCAGAACTAATTGACTAATTTGCTAAAGGGGAAGTGGATAATAAGCAAAAACTAAAACAAAAAAGCAGAAGTAAGAAGAACGAGAAAAGAAGACCTGCATGCAGACAAGTTTTGAGTCACCCTGAACTTTAATATGTTTGAAACCTTTCTCAATAGCATATTTTAGCCCTAAGATTAGGCCTCTGTATTCAGCAACATTGTTAGTTGCAACACCCACACCTTCGCGCAACCGGAAAACCTACAGAAAAGGAATTACAAGTCGAAAACCTGTAAATTTATGGTGACAAACCACATCTTCTAAACGGATAGGGAGCATACCATACTTCCATCACCAGCATGTAGAACAGCCCCGGCACCAGCTAGTCCAGGATTCCCCTTTGAAGCCCCATCAAACTCAAGAGTGCAAGAACACTGCATATAGGGGGGCTGAAGGTATCAATTTATAAGATGTTCCTCCAAGCTAGAAGCAAAGATCACATTAAGATAGTAGCACTTAAAAGAAAACAGTACGTTCACCATATTACAAGCGAGTCACAGACCACCCTTTTTGCAAAAATGAAATAAGACCAATGTGGCTAATCAATGTCTTTTTCATGTCATGGAAGACATGATATCATGACTAGGAAACAACAACAACAACAACAACAACCCAGTATAATCCCACTAGTGGGGTTTGGGGAGGGTAGTGTGTACGCAGACCTTACCCCTACCCTGGGGGTAGAGAGGTTGTTTCCAATAGACCCCCGGCTCCCTCCCTCCAAGAACTCCCCACCTTGCTCTTGGGGTGACTCGAACTCACAATCTCTTGGTTGGAAGTGGAGGGTGCTTACCACTAGAGCAAAACTGAAGTACAAACAGAATTAATACACTAAACTATGGCTGAAAAGTCAAAACATAAGTCCAAACAGAATCTTCTTTTTTTTAGGCACATAAGTCCAAAATCTTGTATGTTTTTTTAAATCAAGTGACGTATAATCTTTTATGTTTCTTATAAGGGATAAGTAATCTTGAATGTTATTTCAACGGAGAATTTCTTGCACTTGCGTTCTTTTTGGCTCCTAATGGAAGTGCTCCACGTGAAACAGGTTAGTATGCTCCAAATACATTTGTATTCTAAAATAGACTTATCACACAAAAGTAAACTTTGCCAAAAATCCTCAAACTTTGGACATTTACTGAACTTACTCCTGGAAAGTTGCATTTTGTCCTCACAATTTGATTTAAGAGTCACTTGGCCCCCTTGGCTCGGCATTGCCGAATCAGGACTTTTCAACATATACAATAGACTAAAACAATTTTCTCTTATCCCAATACATATTGACTTTTAAGCCTCTTTTTTCCATTAGCTCAAATAAACATCACTTTCCTAACTATTGCTTGCTCATCAGCACCATAATGTAAAAAAATAGGAGCAAGTCCTTACCAAGGCTAACAGCACCCACCTATCCACCCCCTTCAGACTATCAACAAACAGGTAAAGCAGATAATGACAAGCATTTGTGCATATTGATTCAAAAAAATATTAAAAGAAACTTACACAATATGACGAAATTGGGGGAACTTCAAGGAAATTGTCTAATTTGGCATGTTTTTGCTGACCAGCAGCTGAAAATGAAGGAGATGCCACCACCTCTGTCTGAATGAAGGGAATAATCATGTGAATATCAAAGGCTCCACAGATCACATTTTCATAATAGCAAAACTTTTTCACTATACTGACTCTATCTGATCAATGAAAGAATAATATGGATTGACTCGTTGACCATTAAGAGATTACCTGCATCCTCTTCTCCTGAAAATTCTTCCCAATAATTTTATCTTTGGAAGAGCCAGGTTGCTGCAAAAACATAAAAAGAAAAAATATTACCATGCATGAAATGGTCCTTGATGTAAACCTGAAACTACAAAAAAAGTGTCAAAAAAATCAAGGCACAAAATGTAGGTTATCTATAGACTGCTGAATTTGACAGAGAAAAAAGAGACAGACATTTCACTAATTGATTGCCAAAACATCTGAACCTTTCAAGTTTAGTCTAACTGCAAAATATAAAAGCAGTATTATGCGCATTCTGTAATACCAGTCAGTGGCCGAAAGACACAAAATGGGAGAAGTAGTTGCCATGACGGCAATTGACCGAGTACTAACAAATCCACCAAGTGATTATACCTATCATTGGCATCAAATTCAGACCTCAAGAATCTCATACTCAAAACTATTAGCAAAAGCTTCTACGANCACCCCCCAAAAAATTACCAGAATTGGTCTTGAAGCAATATAACGTATGGCAGTAGCATTATCACCAAGAAGATGTAAACCAGAAAATAGGCAACTGTGACATTTTCCCTTTGAAATGCTTCCATGTACCACATAATTGGATAACACTTTAGAAAAGAATCCTCTTCAATTTATTCACGTACAGCTTTTCCATAGTAGCACCTCGGTTTGCTCTCTCATCAAACGCAGCAATGAAACATATTTCTTCCCAGTTCTCCACCTTTCAATTTTTTACCTATACATATAAATCTGATTCAATATTCACTTCCTTTCTCATGCATCTTAACCTAAAGTTCTCCTGTGGTAAAAGTTTATTCAATCACATCATTTTTATTTGTCACCTCTTCGATAATCACCTCAAAAAAACCATCGCCAGCATATATTAGTTACTATTTAATATTTTAATACCTGAATATTTTTGTTAAAAATACTCAGAATTTCTTTGACCAAAATGTGTCCAAATAATATAGCGAGGGATTCTTCCAGTTATGCTAGCTGAACGATAAAATAAATTCTTCCAGTTATGCTCGTTCGCATATGATTGTAGATGATGGAGTGATACTCTCCTCATACACAGCAGAAGGCCCATTATTATTTGGAGCCTATAGGAAAAATTAATCTCATTAGTCCAAAACTATATCTGCAGCGCCAGGTAATAGTGTCATGATTGAAGCAAAAGATAATAGAGAATGCTTAAGAGCTACAAGAAGTATTTTCTCTTACTTCGACGATCAGATGAAAGTGAAGCTAATAGGAAAAGGAGATGGAAATAACTGTTGTAAAGAGAGAAATAACAGTCGCATCCACTGTATACAACTGTAGACAATGCGATGCAAAGAAGACATTACGACTAGGCAAAAAACATAGTACCAACTTGAGTGAATACAACATGTAAATAGCTACCACTAGGTTGCCAGAAAAAAGCCACCAAGTGGAGTGAATACAACATGTAAATCACTAACACTCGGTTGCCAGTAACATAGTTGAAAGATCAGAAGGAGAAGCAGTTCAGCCTGATAAAAAATTTTAAGATGAAAAATCATGCAGACAGTGAAGGCCCCGCGGTGCACTAAAATGTGTCTATATCATGACAACAAAAGGAATGATACAAAACTTAAAAAGGAGGACAATTTAGCACCCCCATTAGCCAAAATTTGACCCAACTATCATCAATTAGATGAGACAACTAAGTCTACCGCTAGGTTAAACTCCTCAAGTGCAGAAGAGGGCACATGAGTCCTAAATTACATAGTGAAACAGCAAAAAACGTTCAGTAACATTAAAATGATCAACTTTCTAACCCGAAAAGGACATGGGATGAGTATCCCAAAGAGATCATCTCGGACATCGCTGAAATCCATAGAATACATTGCATTCTTGAGTCCATGAGAGGCCAGATACTCTTCAGATTCCTTAGCCAGGCGGTACCCTTTAAAAACACTCATGGCTGGTTCGCCAACCTGAAAGATCAGAAAAAAATAACAAAATATTCAGAGAAAAAAGGAACACCTAGTTAATATTATTGCTTGAGCTCTAAAAAATCAACTAAGCCTCACCCGACTAGTGGGGTCGGCTATATTGTATGCATTTTGCTTTATTTCTTCTTCATTGTTCAAAAAATATTCATAATTACATGTTTGGCCATAAATATCATTCATTTTCTATATTATATGACGTGTGGCGTACCCAAGTCGATTTTTTCAGCACGTGTGCCTCCGTCCCAAAAAAGGATGTATATTCCGGACATTTATCATGGGTGCTTCTAGAAATACTTGTAGTTCAGTATTTTCAAATAATTGTTTGGTCATCATTATTTGTAAATGTTGAACTTCAGTATTTGAAATACACGTGGCGATATTGAAAAACTTCTTTGAAGAGTGTTTCAAGCGAAATAATGGTTTTCACTCACAAAACTACAACTTTTCTTTTCAGTAAAGTCATGTCAAAACACAAATTCAACATTTAAAGGAGTACTCTTTTTTAACTTCAATTCTAATACTCTATTTTTTCAACTTCAACCAAATATTGTCCGACTTTAAATACTCATTTTTTTCCAACTTCCCCCAACTCTTCTTATACTTGAGGCCTAACCTAGGTAAAAACTTACCCACACTAGGTGTTTGCACCAAACAAATAGGTGAATGCCATGTATTTAAAAATAGTCTCGAATCACTTAATCAGTGGTAATTACTACACATTTTCACAGAATAAAATCACTTAACCATGGTAAATTGCTATAGTATGGTGTAAACACCCGGTGCGCATAAGTATTTACCCCCTAAACGACCCCCCTCCCCCAAAGAAGTAGTCTAATAGATAACCAGAAGCCGCCTTTGGCCCAAAAGCAGAAAGTATTGACGATAAAAGTAAAGGAAACATACAGAAGTTCGGAGCAGAGCTTGTAAATCGCTCAAGTTCTTATAAACACCGATCACATCCCCTTTACGAACAACATAAAAAGCGTCCTTTTCGTCCCCCATTTATTTGTCCAACTCCAACGCCTTTACTTGACAGTGCAAGTTACTCCACCACTGTACCAACACATTATAACTTAGTAAAAGCAGAAACAGAAATAATAAATACTAGTCCAAATTCCATTGACAAAACTCTATTCAAACAACTCAACGGACAATATACAGTCAATATTTTACCTCAACCTGTATGATCAGTGTAGTTAATTTAGTACCATTGAAACTCAATTACTACTCCCTAGTCTGTCCCAAAAACAACGTAACATTTATATTTAAAAACAATTTAACTTAAAATTCCCCTTCTACCTTAATGAGTTGATTTATAGCCACACAAATATCTAATACTTGTTTTGAACCACAAGTTTCAAAATTCTTTTCTTTCTTAAACTACGGTGCGTAGTCAAATAAATTGGGACAGAGGGAGTATATGATTTAGGCATAAATTTATGTTTAAAAACCTAAGTTAAGCAAATTGAGAATGAATTAGGGTTTTCGAAACATAAAGTGGAAGAATTCTTACCGAGGAGAGGAGCAGAGTGAAGGGAGTAGTTCGTGGGACGGTGAACAGAGGGAACTTTTTAATGGAGTTTTTTAGTCAGCAGCAGCTGATCTCTGCACTCACATACTTACAGTTTCGGAAGTCGTGTAACATGTCGAGCTGATTTTGGTCCCAAACTGCATTTTTGGGCTGCTTAGCGGGATAATCACTACGGGGTCTTTACACAAATAGCCGATTATATTCATTATTTATTTTTTCTAGCCATATCGTAGATTAGGGATGGCACCTGGGCCGAGCCCGGTCCTAAGTGGGCCGGTTCTAAGTGGGCCGGTCCTAAGCGGTCCGGTCCTAAACGGTCCTGGGCTTCGCGGGCTTATTGTTGGAACCGGCTCGGGACCGGGACCACGGACTAACGGGCCCAACAGAAACTTTCTCTTTTTAATTTTTTTTTTTATAGAAGTTAGAGAAAAAAATAGTAATAAAGATATATAAGCTATATTCGATTTATATACTATATATACATCTTAAAATATATATATACTATATTATATATACATAGTATACATCTTAAAATATACTATATATACATCTTAAGATATATATACATCTTAAGATATATAAGCTATATATATATATAGTAAGATGTATATATAGTATATCTTAAGATGTATACTATCGAATATGACTTATAAACTATGTATATATATTATAGTGTATATATACATTTTAAGATATATATATATAAGCTTATGTATATACTATACTATACTATACTATATATACATCTTAAGATATATAAGCTATATTCGATTTAT